CCGGGCGGCGGCGCCCCCCCCCCCCCCGGCAGCCTCCGGGACCGCTCGGCTGCTGCCAGCCTGGTTTCGACCCGAGCGCGGGGTGCAAACGCCGAGGGGCTCCCCTTTGGCTTCTGGAGAGCGCCTGCTCCTGCCTCTGCTGCTAGCTCAGCAGCCCCGGCCTCTTTCGGGGTCTGGTGTAGCTGCCGTGCTGCCATGCCTGCTGGAGACATGCTTGTATGGAGAGCGGGAGCTCACCGCCATGTCTGCAGGCGGCCTTCAGCAAGCAGAGTCCTTTCAGCCAAGTTTCACAGGTTTCCTGACAGCTTCTGATCTGCTGAAGGAAATACAGCGATCATTTTTCATCGTGGATGCCTGGGTCTTTGTTGACAATTTACCTTTAAACACCAAAGTTCAGTTTTTCACAGATAAAAGAAGCAAAAAAAATATGGAGGTGTGCTTGTTGATTGTCTCGCTTGACAGCCGTGTTCCTACATGATGTGCTAGCTAAAACCTGGCTTCACTGGGCTCTGAAGGTTAGTGTCTTCAGTGCAAAGCCATCGGCCTGGGGTAGCGGTAACTTACTAGGTTGGTAGTGTCCAGATGTGTTCTGTCCAACCAAGATAAGAAGGCTGTCTTCATGCAGTGGAGTGATGCAGTCCAGGTTTAGGAACCAGCCTTAATTTCACATCTTCGCAGTTTTCTTGGAGGAGATTAGTATGAAACGTCAGACGTGCAGAGACATCTGACTGTCCTCCGGTGGGAACAGCAGGTTTTTAACCTCTTTAGAAAATAACAAACTTGTCTTTCAACTCTGACACTTTCGCGGAACAGAGGTAGTGAGAAAGGATCGTTTTCATAAAGAGCTTTGGTTTCTGGAAGTGAAAAGCACATAGTGATTTTGAGTATCTTATTCTTGCCATGGAGATGCTGCTGTAGGAAACCCATGGAAAATCTGTTCTGTTTGCATGAGCCTCAGCAGGTCAGAATTGATATGGGAATTCATTTGACTGACAATGAGATCAAGGTTTTGCCAATCTTGAGAGTTTTGATTTTGGGTTGGTTTCTTGTGATTTCCTGCAGTAAGATCCTGTGGGTCAGCTATTTCACAATGAAATCTGAAACAACATGTGTTGAAGTACAATGCTCTTATTTAACAGCAACTGTAACTACCTGTCACCAGCCTGGACATTGCTTTGCTGCAGCATTGTAAAAACTAGAGATGCTCGTTTTTGCTAGAGGTTTGCATAGCTGCTGGTATTTCTACATTTAAGTGCATGTGTGTATATCTTATTTTTCAGAAAAGCCTTGGACTCAGAGTTTACCCTGGTCCTCTCTGTGTTTGTATGGTATTTTTAAGGCAAATGAGTTTGCTCTGCCTGTGCTTTGAGTTGGCTGAACAAGAGTCTGTTTCAAACCAGAAACTGAGCAAGTACTACATTGAAAATATCCTACTGCAGAATTGCTTGTTGAGGCAGCGGTGCCCCTCTGCAGCATGTTTTCCACCGGGTGGAAACTGGGTGAGCTCTTATTTGCCTGGAACGTACTGTGGAGGTGCAGCCTAAGAGGACAGTGAAAGAACGATGCTTGCAGTTGTGATCCAGATGTTACTGTCTCGTCCCTTGTTCCCTTGCTCTCATCCTGAAAACACGGAGTAGAGGGAAAGTCTTTGAACGTTTGATAAAAATTAAGTGCTGGTTCATGGTGACCCTTTCAGTTGGTACCTTCCAAGCCTTCCCCTTCCCTTCCCTTCTTTCCTGCTGTTGTGCTCCCCGGTTAAGAAGCAGCTGGCATAGCACTGCAACCCCTGCCCTGTTCTCCAGGGTGTATTCCAGACAGGGCATCCCGCACTCGCTCCACGCTGTTTGTATTCCCTTATCAAAAGCAACTGGTGATAACTTTGCTATTGTTCACGACAAGCACAGCTTACTGTATTATCAAAGTTTAAATAAGATAGACATGTCTCTGGAGTGTGGCTAAAATAAAGCATAGCTTGTGAGAAGGTTTGTAAAACCTTCCTCAGTGGGTGCAGCTGCTTGGACAGAAAATGCTGTGGGGGTTGTTATGGATGAGTTCTATACATAACAATAGCTTCATTAACAAGGAAAAAAAGGGTAATCGGACGTGTGCTGTTCTGAAGTGGCGATAAACAGATTAAGTTTAACTATGATGCTAAAGCCCCAAAGTTGTATTGTCTTAATCCTGGTCACCATCAGATAACATTCTGATGACTGTTTTAGCGAGACCTTGATAAAATTAATTTGGTGTTTATATGAATGGATGTCACTGCAGAACTTTTCTGGTTAGGATGACAAGATCAGGCAATCCCATCCTGGGTGTTTCTGGCCCCGATGAATTACCCTCCTGTCTTGGGACAGTTTTCCCCATGCGGAAGGAGAGCACAGAGTGATATGCTACATAATGGCTGCTAATAGTTGCTTTGTCCCTCAGGCAGGCCAGTGCAGCTGGCTCAAGCTGCCTTCTGTCAGGGAAAGACAGGACTCAGATTCTAACCAGGATTTGTAGCTCTGGATGGCTTCACCAGAGGGGCTGGTGAGGTCCATAAGTGCAGGTCTAGATGAGGCCGAGGGAGATGTACTTCGGTTGTTGGTCTGGTGCAGAGTGAAAGTTGTGATGTGAGGTCTGTTCCTGCGGGCTGACTGCCTTCTGTGTTCTCATTTGCAGGTTGCCTCTCCCTCCTGGTGACAGTGCAGGATGTTGAGCGTTATACCACCTTATTTGCCACTGTCGTCCTTAAGTGTGACTACAGCACCTCTGCACAGCTGCAGGACGTGGTGGTGACCTGGCGCTTCAAATCCTTCTGCAAGGACCCCATCTTTGACTACTACTTAACCTGTGAGTATCGGGCTTGTCCTCCAAGGAATCCCTCCTCAAATGGGAAGGAAGGAGAAGGTAGACTTACTGGGGAATACAGACTTTTGACCTCTCCCTGCCCACAGACCATGTCACGTGGTGGTATTTCCCTGCGCTCCAAGAAAAAATACATCATGTCTGTGATTTCTGTTGCAATGTCAAGGCTTTGTGATACGACGTCGTAGAAATCCCAGCCAAAGCAGCTCATTTGTCCGCCTTGTCATCAACTCAGAAGGCAGAGAGGCTCAGCCACGTTTGATGCATGTCAGTCTTGGCATCCCTATCTTATGCTTCAGCATGTTTGAAAGCAAGGGCCCTGCAACAAGTGGACTTTATGATTCCATGGCGGACCGCAATGGTTGGAGCTAGATACCTGTGACTAGGTGTTGCTGATTTTAGGAAGCAAAAGAAATAAGTGCATTTTGGAGGGCAGGAAGACTGCTAAGTAATAACATTTAGTACTGGTGATAGCATTTCATATGCAGACATTCTGGTGTGTGCTGCCTTAATTCAGGAGTGTTTAAGATGGTTCTTAAGGTGGTATGCAAACTGCATCCTGGGGTGCATCAAACACAGTCTAACCAGCTGATCAAAAGAGGTGATGACCCCACTATATTTAGCGTTGGTGTGGCCTCACCTTAAGTATTTTGTGGAGTTCCTGGACCCCACAATTGAAGAAGGATGTTAAGGTACTTGAATGCATCCAGAGGAGGGCAACAAAGTTGGTGAAAGGGCTGGAAGGAATGCTCTGTGAGGAGCGGCTAAGGACTTTCGGTGTGTCTAGTTCAGAAAAAAGGAGGCTGAGGGGCAATCTCATGCTCTCTGCAGTGCCTGGGGAAGGGGGGGGAAGAGGAAAGGGAGGTGCTGAGCTCTTCTCCCTGGCATCCAGTGATAGGACACATGGGAATGGTTCAAAGCTGTTTCAGGGGAGGTTCAGACTTGACATTAGGAAGCATTTCTTTACCAAGAGGGTGGCCAAACACTGAAATAGTCTTCCTAGACAGGTGGTTGATGTCCCAAGCCTGTCAGTGTTTAAAAGGCATTTAGACAATGCCCTTAATAATTTGCTTTAACTTTTGGTCAGCCCTGAAATGGCAAGGCAGTTGGACTGGATGACCATTGTAGGTCATTTCCCACTAAGCTATTCCCTTCCTTTCCCCTTCACCTCAGTAAACCCTGCAGTAAGTTTAAGCTGGCCAGCCTTAGCTCAGCTGCACACTGAAGACTGAGCTCAGAGCGGGGAACCTGGACTTGTTTAGTGTCTTGGTGCCCAAACTCTCCTTTATGCAGTCTGGATGGGTTGGGTAGGCATGTTACCAAGTGCTCTACAGCCTAGTCCACAAGCAGGTGGGTCACTAGCTCTGCTGATCAGCGTAATGTGAGTGCTTTGAGCCCAGGCTCAAGCTGATAGCCCCCAACACGGACAGAAAGCTTGAAGGTCACAGTGTTTGCTTAGTTTGGTCTGCTCTTCATGATCTGTTGTAGATACAGCAATGGAGGAGCCTTTGACAAGCTTTATCCTCTCCTCTCTTCATTGCAAGCCCTTTACTGACAATGCGGACTGTATCAGTTGTCTCCCCAAATCTCAGCTCCCAAATACCTGACAATTCAATGTTAGTTTATATCGTGAGTCTGTTATAAGAGTATTGCACAGAAATTGCCTCTAGTCCTCCATTAATTCTGTTAGGTGTCTCTGTACATAATCCTTAGCTGGAGTCAGATGATGGATTCTTTTCTGTCTTTGAGCTCCACAACATCTGATGGGATACAGGAGGGAAAGGGAGACAATCCCTACAGCAGATCATGTATGCCCTGAGTTTTTTTTTTTTGTAAATAAACACAGTTTTGTTTTAGTTCCAGTACTCCTGGGAGTTTTATAACTTTTTTTCCTTGCAATTTATCTTCATACTCGGAGCTGCCCTCCAGCCTACCGCCATTTGCTTCTTTATAGTGTTGTTCTTTCAATTGTGAGTGCAGGAAGCATCTTCTCTGCAGCTCCTGCATTTTCAAAATCTGTGCCATTCCTGTGGCTCTACCTCTGTTTGCTTTTGAGTACTCCAAAGCAACTTATCCTTGCTGGTTTGAAGCCATGCATTGTATTACTAAACCAAAGCAAATGCACACATGCATTTAAGAGTTCCTTTGCTGCTCACAAGGGGATAGGAATTGGTCCTTTGAAATAACTTTTGACATCTTATTTGGTGATGTGTGTTTGTAGCATACCAGGCTGCTTTAGCTCTTGGACAGGACCCATCTAATGACTGCAGTGACAGCCAGCGGCAGGTGCGCATTGTCATCCAGAAATATGGGCAGAAGGATCCTGTGCTGGGTACCGACTACCAGCAACGAAAGATCACCATTCAGAACCGTAAGTGACTTGAGCTCCCAGGCCTGCCAAGTGACGAGAACAATAAATATGGCTAATGTCATCTGTAGCTTACATATTCTGTGAGGTGGCACTGGAATAAGAGTTGTGAAGGGCCCTGTCCCCAGCTGGCCTGAGGGTGTTGGAGGCACTGCAAGCTAAGGCTGAGCTGAGGATGCCTGAGCATTTTGTTGAAGAGTGGGAAAGTAAGCTGAGGAACCCGGAGGCTAGAAAACAGTTCTTTCTTCCAAGAAGTACTGCATAGTTGTCCAGGTACATTATAGGCTCCCTGCTGTCCCTGGAGCAATAGATGCTGCTACTGCCAGAGGAGTTCTTGGGATGGCTGCCCTAACAGGGACAGTGATCAGTGTTCCAAAACCAGTAGGGGATGGCCACAGTGGGTATCTGTTAACATCTGTCACCCAGCAGCATGCTGGTTATTTCACTCTACAGAGAACTAGTTCCACTTCTAACTAGCGTTGCCTTCCAGCAACACAAAGAAAAAAGGGACTGGCAGTTGATTCTGTTTACAGGAGTTCTCGATGGACTCAAACGGGATTGTTTCAAAGTGATGGCTACGCTTGGGAAGAGGGGAGATGCAGTAGCATATGTCACCTGCAGGCAGAGGGTACTTTTATAGTGGGGCCTGAAAGTAGTGTCTGTCAGTCCCAAATAGCCCGCTGACCTCTCAGTCCCTCTCCCACAGGGGCAGACCTTGTCATCAGTGAGGTCATGTGGTGGGACCACGGCGTGTACTACTGCACTGTGGAAGCACCAGGAGATACCTCAGGTGATGCGGACAAGGAAGTTAAGCTGATTGTTCTCCGTAAGTGTGGGGTTTTTTTTTGTCTGTGTGGCGGATATCTCCTCCTGTTCTCTTTCTCCCCACTCCAAGATGTCTCCAGCGGTGGAGAGGTGCTCAGTAACTTACCATGCCCAGATACATCAGGAGCCTCTTTCTCTCTCCATGTTTCCCATAGACTGGCTCACAGTACTCCTCATCGTTCTCGGAGGCCTCTTCCTCCTTCTGCTGATTGGAATATGCTGGTGCCAGTGCTGCCCCCAGTATTGCTGCTGCCACATCCCATGTGTCTGCTGCCCAACCCGCTGCTGCTGTAATGAGGAAGGTGAGGTTCAAGCAAATGTGTGTCCATTCATGGCTTCTGACAAGACAAAAGCTTGACTGGGAGCTTGCTGAGCTCCACTTTCTCCCTCCAGTTCAGCATCCATATAGACTGAGACATTTCTTCGGCCAGTGTGTCCTCTGTGCAGCTAGGATATATGGAGCCCATCTTACTCCTCTGTCCTACTTTCAGAAGTTCCTCTTCACTCACACCTTGCTACCAGCTTCCCTCATGTCATCCAGGGCACAATCAACTCCTTTTCATGAGTAGCTCAGGACTTTTCTTCCCTGTCTTGTAGTTTGTGTGTCTGTGCATGTGAGGAAGGCAAGCAAATGCCTTCATACTATCTCCAAACTGGCCTAACCTTCAAGTGTGTTGCTCTGAGAGGTAATTATGTAAAAATTGGAGTTTTCTATCGTCATGTTATTTTCAGAGCTGTTCCTTCCACAAGAAAAAGATTTTGTTTGTTTTTCTTTGGGGAAGGAAGTGAGGAGAAAGAAAGGAGAAAGATGGTCTGTCTTGGTTGTCAACCCTGCAAATGCATTCTGAGGTTTTGGGGGTCAAGAGAAACTTTGTTGTGTATACTTTTTAGCACTGATACAGATTCTGCAGCCAGACCCTGTTCCCTTAATAAGGCCAGTGTTTGATTTTGGCTACTAAGGTCATATAACCTCTGTGTTATTGTAACTGAGACTTAGTAGCAACACATTGTGGAATAGCCCCCCTGCAGCTTGCATGGTCTGATAGGAATAAAATGCAACAAATACATTTATTTATCACTGAAATATCATTGAAATCACCAGATTCTTCCCCGTATGTTACAAGGAGAGGCTTTGTGAACAAGGAGCTGTGTTTCTGGTTTCCCTTTACGTGAAAAAGAACTATTTGGTATACCTTAGATGTTAGTAAACTGTGAGTGTTTTAGAATCATAGAATAGTTTGGGTTGGAAAGAACCTTTAAAGGTCATCCAGTCCAAACCTCCTGCAATGGGCAGGGCCATCTTCAACTGACCAGGTTACTCAGAGCCCCGTCCAACAGAATATCACAGAATATCACAGAAAGGGTCACCTACAGCAGGCTGCACAGGACCTTGTCCAGGCGGGTCTTGAATATCTCCAGAGAAGGAGACTCCACAACCTCCCTGGGCAGCCTGTTCCAGTGCTCCGTCACCCTCAGAGAGAAGAAGTTCCTCCTCATGTTCAGACGGAACTTCCTGTGCCTCAGTTTGTGCCCATTACCCCTTGTCCTGTCACTGGGCACCACTGAAAAGAGCTTGGCCCCATCCTCCTGACACCCACCCTGCAGATATTTGTAGGCATTTATAAGGTCCCCTCGCAGCCTTCTCTTCCTCAGGCTGAACAAGCCCAGTTCCCTCAACCTCTCCTCGTAGGGGAGATGCTCCAGTCCCCTCACCATCCTCGTAGCCCTAAAGTCAAAAATTTGCAGTGCTGTATGCTCCTTGCATGCCCCTATGAGAGGGTGTGAGGCATAACCAGGACAGAAGTTTGGGCACCTCTATGCTGCTACATAAGAACTAGGAAGAAAAGATGACTGAAGGGTAACGGTCTGCTCACTTTTTCGAGTTTGTTAAATTAGAAGGGGAAACGTCCCTCCCATCTACATTACAGCAAACTGAGTTTGCTGTTTTACCGGATTGCTGTTAGCAAGACTTACAGCAAATCTTGTTGCATAATGTTTTTTTACAGGGTGGATTTGTAATGAATGAACTTCATGGTGGCAGGCTGACAAAGAAGACCAATATTGATTGCAAATGCCAAAAGGCAGAAGAATAGATTGGGGATAGGTGTCAAGTTCTGCTGGGGATGCTATGACAAGTATTAAGCCTGTGTGTTCAGCTCAACGCTACCCAAATGGAAATACCATATTCTAGGCAGTCAGACGAAAGTCAATGGCTCATGAGGGGGCACAGACAATTCCTGTGCATTCTGTACGGGCAGTCAAATTATTTGCATGGAAAAGGGCTTGCTAATTTAGTCCATAAAAGAGGAAAATAAATCATATCCCAAAGCAATGAGCTCTCAAGATCTCCTATGGAGATACCCTGCTGGATTCTGGTTCCGCACCACACAACTTGGTGTAGTATGCAAAACTGCTGAGAGTGGACTCAATCCTGCTGTGTCATTAATGAAGATATTAAACAATACTGGTCCCCATATGGACCCTGAGGGACACCACTTGTCACTGATCTCCAGCTGGACATTGAGCCATTGACCACTACCCTCTGGATGTGACGATCCAACCAATTCCTCATCCACCTAACAGTCCACCCATCAAATTCATATCTCTCCAATTTAGAGAGAAGGATGCCAAGGGGATCTGTATCAAAGGCATTGCAGAAGTCCAGATAGATCACACCTGTAGCTCTTCCCTTGCCCACTGATGTAGTCACTCCATCATAGAAAGCCACTGGGTTGGTCAGGCAGGACTTGCCCTCAGTGAAGCCGTGCTGGCTGTCTCAAATCACCTTCCTGTCCTCCATGTGCCTTAGCATAGCTTCTAGGAGGATCTGTTTCATGAACTTCCCAGACACAGAGGTGAGTCTGACAGGTTGGTAGTTCCCAGGGTCCTCCTTTATACTGTTCTTGGAAATGGGAACGATGTTTCCCTTCTTTCAGTCACCAGGAACTTCATGTGGCTGCCATGACTTTCAAACACTATGGAGAGTGGCTTGGCAACTATATCAGCCAGTTCCCTCAGGACTCTGGGATGCATCGCGTCAGTCCCATAGACTTATGTATGTTTAGGTTCCTCAGGTGGTCACAAACCTGATCTTGTCTTACAGTGGAAGGGACTTTGCTCCCCCAGTCCCTGTCTTGTGGTCCATCCAATTGAGAAGTGTGGGAAGAGAGTTTGCCAGTGAAGACTGAGGCAAAAAACGTTGTTGAATACTTCAGCTTGCTCATCCGTTGTAACCAGTTTGTCAGTCTTGCTCATCATAGATTTAAGCTTAATTTGCTTAGCCCTTGCAAAGAGCGAGCAGAGCATCCCTCTCAATTGCTAAAAGCAAAACAAACCAAAACATTTTCTGGGGGCTTTACAAGCTGCCAAGTAAAATACGTGGTGTTGAGGAGGCTATGGAAATTTGGCAGAAAAATTAGTTTCCATGAAGGGAGAGAGAGGTGATGGAGATGAAAGACTCACAACTCCAGACTTCCTAGTTCTCATTAAAAATATATGTGTGGGTTCTTTTTTGTTTTTCCGTGCTGTAGGAGACGATAGCAGTCTCCAGACCTGCTGCTGTTGTTTTTCCTGCCTCCTGTTGAGGATAGGTAGGAGGGATTCTTGTGAGGTTTCCAAAACCTATACCTGCTCATGAGAGAAGGTACAGACAAGTCCAGCCTCGTTGTCTGGCTGCTGGATTCTGTGGCTGTAATTTCCATCCCAGCTGCCTGATCCCACTTTGCAAGGGATCCTTGTGCCTGCTCCCCTCCTCTAGTGCACCTTCTCTTCACTTCATCCTGTGTCTGATTTACTTTTTTGGACTCCAAGAAATGAACTGGAGCCCTGAAAAACCACAAGAAGATAGATACAGAGGGCATCTGAAAAAAACAGTCCTAAGGAATAACAGTTCCATATAACCAAAGAGAAAGCGGAAATCCTCAACTAAGTCTTAAGAGTTACAGTGTGAGCCGAGTACGGGTGATTTCTTCCCAATTATTGCCCACTAGAGGGTAGCCTAGATCTGCTGAACGGGCAGAGATGCCACTGAGGCAAGGTGATTCTGGTTTTTTGAAGTTAGGTCATTAACTAACATGATTTTGAACCGAGTAATAAAAGAAGTGCATTGTTTGAGTAATTCAGAATTGGTGTACAGAAATATTAAACATGCCCCAGGAGCAAGCCAATTACATTCCTCATGGAGAGCTCTGCAAAAAGCACACCAGGGTAAATATACGTATGACCTCCTTCTGTTCTCATTCCTTCCTTCTGTACTGTGGACTTCTTCCACTAATGAATTGGTGCAAAATAGGATACACTTGCACCTGGGTTTGGCTAGGTTGGAAAATATTTTTTTTTTTATAATTGGCTCAGCAGCTGTGTCAAAAGTAAGGAACAACCTTTCTTAGCAGGGAGTAAGTGGAGGGAACAACAGGACATCCTGCCAAAGTTTTATAGCAGATATTAGTTTTGGATGTAGGGTGAATCTGACGTTCCTCAGATAAATATGTTCCCTTTAAAAAGAGATCTGCAACTTTACTTCCATTTTACAGGTGAGGAACCAGAGTACTGGGTTCAGTGTTCTATATATATTGGGTTCAAACAGGAAGGCAAAGTAACTGAGGAAGGAAGAGAGGATGAAAGTACTGCAGGAAGTCCAAGGGTAATTCTGCATTTGTTCAGCTGTAGGGAGAGATCAGAGAATTACAGGGGCAGGATGACTTTGGTCCTAGCAACTGCCTTCATACCCTAAGGAGGGGAACCCTAAGTAGATACGCTCACAGCTGCTGGGCCTTTCACTCCTCAGGCAAAGACTGTAGTCAAAACGCAGGGACTTGCACTCAGCAGTTCTAGGACATTCTCAAGGTGATAACTGGAGGAATGGAGAGGAACAGATAAGACGTTTCCCTTCTTTTTATCATTTAGCATTTCCCTCTTTCTCTGTTCCTCCAAGTTTGAAACTTAAAGTGGAGGAAAATCCCGTGGGGAAAAAAAAAATAACAAAGCAAGTTTGACATAAAGTGCTTGAAAGCTGCTACATCAGGCCACACAGCTTTGAAGAAAAAACAAAGTATTAGGATTAAAAACCCTGACGTTTCCAGCTTTGTAGTTCACTCTGGCTGGAGCCAGGCTGGGGAGGGGGAGGGAGTTTGGAGCAGAGAACAAAGTGGAGCTGCATGAACTGTGGGGAGAGGGAAGGGTGTGCTGAGAGGCATGGTCAGTCCCTGTTTTGCTGCAAGTGGTGCTTGGTGTAAATTCAGTGAAACAGCTAAAGAAGGCCATGTTTAATAACTGGAGTGCTACCTGAAATGGAAAGCTCAGTCCCAAAGAGTGTGCAGTCTAAATGCTGCCTGCTGCAGATGAACTCAGGGGACAGAATTAATTGGAGCTTAGCTGTAGCCTGGTTTCTTAAAGAAGCAAGGCTTATGCAGTCAACCTGTCCATTTATGCCCTATCTCTTTACCTCCAATAGCTTTTAATTTCATCAGCCAACTTCAGCCAGATTTATCAGAGGGGTAACAGTCTCAAAGGCAATTACGTTCCTATCTGTCTCCTGAACTGGATAGCCAGGAATGTTCTGTTCATGCCTGACCAGAGAAGAGGCTGCAGTAAAAGCCTGTCACTTCTGAAACTCAAGAGAACCCATACAATGGAAATTTTGCAGAGGCCCCATTGCAGAAAAGCTTCACCCAGTAATGACAGACAAACCATGCAGAGTTGGGCTTTGTAAGGTCTGGGGCTTGCAGAATTTTCTTGCTTCTAAACTTGAGTTTTGATTGTCTGTGGTAGAAGGAGTAAGTTTCTGTAAGATGTTTTCAGGTATTCCCAAAAAACAAGCTGCAACGAGTGATGGTTTTGAAGATAGGGATGGTGAAGTTGTCTGTGTAAAAGAGGTGAGATGGAAGTGCTGAAAAAAGTGAAGAGGAATTGGAGCCTGACCCCATGAGTAGGGATCTGCAGCTAGCAATGGTGGAAAAGCAGTGAGGAGGAGAAATTTCCACTGGGTTTGCTCTTTTGGCACACTGGACATCGCTGTTGCGAACAGGAAATTTAGTTTGTTCACCATTTTGACCACAGCGTCCTAAGGGATTTAATTTTGGCAGTCATGCTGAAATAAATTACAGAGAGACACAACAAGAGTGGCTGAAAGACTAGAAAGGGAGAAGCTGGACAGTGCGCCTCTGAGTGCCCTGTTTGTGGAACAGAGAGGAAATGATGGAGAATGGTGTGGAAAATAAGATCTGGACAAAGCCTACATGAAGGTGGCAAAAAAAGGTCTTGTTTATCTGCAAATCAAAGCCAAAAGGGGAAGAGACCAATGATGAGCTGAAAGAGTTTTAAGAGACAGAAAACAGTGTGGTATGTCTTGCTGTATGAAACATTATTTCCCACCTTTCTGCACCTGTACTGATAATGACAGGACAGGTAGAAATATCACATTTGGTTATGTGCTGTGTCCTTAACCATAGTGCCATTTGTTCAGAGTTGCTGGAACTGTATCCTGAATGTCAGGAAGCAACCCTTTTCTTCTGTTTTAGGTATCTTTCTGAAATTGTACAACTTCCTATTGGAATTTCCTGTGCTCTGTTTTGCCTTTGCCATAGGGTGGAGAGAGCTTTTCATTCTGTGAATTTCCTATGTCTGATCACACCCAAAGGCTACAATCTATCAAGCAAAATAGTATGTGGTCTGCAAGCTGGCTCTCTGGATAGCTTCTGTAAGCTTTCTTCTTCTTTTACAGCACTGGAACGGCATCGGTTCATGAAGCAAGCTCAGGCCCTTGCGCCTTGGATGTCACCCCACATGTTCTATGGAGGTGGTGACAGGAACTCACAACTTTCCTCTTACCAGCTGAACCCTCTACTGCAACGAGGTGAGACCATGGGCATCATTTCAGGGAAAAATCAGGATGAGAAACAGGTAACTTCTCAGGGATGTGCAGCAGTAAGGCTTTAGCCTCTCTACTACGAGAAAGACGTTCCTAGCATGACTGCATGCCCTAGCATGACAACTCTGCTACATCTGCAGCGTACTATAGACTTGCTTGGGTGGATAAACACAGCCTATCCATCTTATGTGTCTTGCTAGGTTCAGTGCTGGGTGAAGTAGTTTAATGCTAACTAAGGTATATCTGTGCTACACTCCAGCGACTGCAGGGTAAATATACCCAGCTTATCTCGCTTCATGTGGCAGAGGAGGGTACTGTCTCTTTGTTCTGCTGTGCTGGTCACGGTCAACTCCTTATAGCCAAAATTGACATGACAAGTGAGTGAGGTGCAATTTGTTTGAGTTCTTATCAACCATCTAGTCTTCAAATGATTAAGGGCACACTGCCTTCTATGCCTTCTGATCTAGCCTGCCTGCAGCAAAAAATGAAGGACTCTTTAATGAACCAGGAAGAATTTTCCAGTTGTTCTGCCCCAAAATTGCTTGTATTAGTGGTATTTATTTGTAACTTTAGTGGTATTTATTTGTAACTTTAATGGAGGAGGGAAGATGGAGTCTCTGAAGTCCTAGAGAAATAAGTAATAAAATAAATTATTACCAGTAATATTATTTAATCACCCAAGGAAAATAGGGGAATTCAACATCATGACTTCTCAAATAAATATAACATATTTTTCATCTGAAATTAGCTTTTCATCACTATACAGCAATCACAGATTTACTCTGTGTCCAATGAGTCTTAACTGTTGTTTGAAGAAATAGTTTGCAAACTTCTTAAATGCTAGATTCAAGATGTTTGGGTATATACTTTTTTAGCCTGCTCCTTAATTCTACAGTTACCTATTTTTCATAGCTAGGGCACTGATTTTCCTTAGGAAGATCTGGTGACGGAGTCTCCATGATTTAAGACAAAATACATTTGAGTCTTCTCAAGGAAGTCCATCTGCTTGCTGGCAGAAAATGGGCAAATAAGTTCCTCAGGCAGTTTCTTAGCCTATGTTTCCACAGTCCTTGAATCTCGTGTGCTTAACTTTCCCTTAAATTTGTTTCAGGTCAGCTTTTTAGAAATGTTGGTTATTAGGGACTTCTAAGGTCATCTAGTCCTACCTCTTGCTCAAAGCAGGACTGTCACCAACGCCAGTCACGTTAGCTGTGGCTTTGTCCAGACAAGTCTTGGAAACCTGCAAGGACGGAGATTCCATGACTTCTTTGGGTAACTGTTCCAGAGCTGGACCAGTCTCCTAGTGGAAAAAACTTCTCCATTTGCTACTTATATCTATACATACATGTGTGTGTGTATGTGTGCATATATGTAAACATTTCTTTTTGTTCTGCAGTATTGGTTCGTATTTCTTTGAGTTCAATGAGCTATAAGAGGAAACACTATGAACTTTCTCTGATCTTGTTTAAAATAAAATTTGGTATCAATGCGGTAGGAAAAAAATGCTCCTTTCTTTAAATATATAAACTATGTTTCCTGGTGTGCTGGATAACTTTGATTTCTTACCTCTGTTCTGCCCAAAACATAGATCGTACTGTAACCTACTAGCTACGACTCTTTGCACCTTACCTCGTGTGGTCTGGATGTGCTGGTTGTGGTGCTTGAGGCTCACGCAGCCCTTTCAGTGAGGAGGAACAGCAGAAGAGAGGCTCGAAAGGGACCCTACAGGATCATTAGTGCAGAAGGGCCCTCTCTTTATTGTTACCGCTTGACTTGCTGCATTCTCCTGTGCTTTTATCCTTAGATGTGTCTCTGCAGAACAGTCTTCCACTGGTGCAGCCACAAGCTCAGCTTTCCCCTAACAAGGGTGTTTTGGACTATCTGGAGTCTGAAATCCAAAACCTTAACATGTCCCAGCTCCGGCCACCCTCCCACCAGCGGCAGGCTGTGCAGCCCAGCTTGCTGTCCTCCCTGGGCTCTGAGATCATGCCGCCTCCTCTCGCTGATCACGTCTCCTCCATCCATGGGCGCAGCAACCCCTCCTCACAGCCACAGAGAGCTGCCCGCAACCCCAGACCCTGGGACTCTGCAGCAGAGGACAGGAGGGAAAACCAGAGGTGGCCCTTGCCTTCCAGTGGGGATTCTCATTCCAGCCATAGTCGGGAGCCCTGGGACAGGCAGCGAGAGGACCATCCTCAGAGGCAGAGGACAGGCGGCTACAATGGCAGGCCCCAGCACTCCAGACGGGATGTGTCACCCCCACGCCAGGCTGAGAGGGGCAAGAGCAGCAGCAGCACCTCTAGTTTCTATCCGGAGGAGGCCAAGGAGCATTCCAGCCACCATCATGGCTGGAGACAGGAGCCTGCAAGGAGGCGAGACTACGAGCACTACACCAGGAGGAGCAATAACTCAGGTCAGCGGCGTCACAGCTACTCTCCCCCTTCTCGCCGGGGGTCATGGAGCTCCTCAGAGGAGCAAGTCCGTCTCCCAGCGACAAACCGCAGGCGGCGGCACCGGTCTCGGGAATGGCCAGAAGATAAACCCCCCAGTTATCGCTCATTAGAAGTCATCCCAAGTCAGGACAAGAAGCACAAAGACAGGGCAAGGCCACGCTCGGTGAGTCAGCTGCCGTTTTGCTTTCCCATCTAAGGGAAGAGGTGGGTTTTGGGGAGTGAGAGTGAATGTTTGTTACTTTCTGCAGCCTGTTGTCTTTCAAAAGGATGGCAAGGAGCACTGGGTGCCCTGCGCAGCTTGGCTAGGAAGAGGCTGCTGAGGTCCCTGCCTTCGGATGTGTTGCATGGCTATAGTGTGTTCAGGGGCAAAGTGAGCAGTCAGATAAATTAGGTCCCCTATCATGTCCCACACCGGGTGACATGTTATACCCTCTTACTCCTGTCCCCACATAGAGCCATTTGGGGGTCTAAGTGTTGTTGTTAGAATAGCTGTTTTCCTGGCATTGCCTGGGGAGAAAGCATTTCCAGAGTAGGCAGCAGTATTGAGTATCCCTCTGAAGCCTTTTCTGATGTAGGTTTACTTCTGATTTCTTTTAACATGGGCATGATTCTCCTAGTATCGATCTCCAACATTTACCTTTTATAGTATCTTGGTGGTATTTTTAAGACGGTTCATATGGGAAAGCATCCAGGTAAGATGTCTAAAGCTACATAAAATAGGCTTTAAGATCATGGGTGGCTGTAGTGGTGAGAATTGTGTGATCCTCCAGGCCAGGTGGAAGAAGGTGGCTTGCTTATTGGGACTTGAGAACTGCATTATGTGGTCAGTGAATAGCTGTTGTTCACAGATCATCTTGTCATTTTACACTGGGACTAGATTGCAGGTAGCAACCTAAGTGTGAAAAGCTAGGCAGTGTATTTCCCCTTAAAGAATGAAGTTTTTTTTTAAATAAAGAGATGTTAATTGTTTCTTATCACATATATGCAGAATTTTACCAGGTGAGAGTCTTCTCAGAAGGCTGTATTTTGCACATTACCATTTTCTCTTCCGAGTTTTGGAAGAAAGTGCAGTTCTAGTCCCAGCAGGGATGTGTGTGTGTAGGAATGTTGTTTTTATGGTGCTCAGAGCAGGTAGCACATGGCATTTCCATTCATCCTTCCTTGTTCCTGAATCTTATATTTTCTCTTGCAGGACAGAGGAAGTTCCCACAGTGGAAGAAGCATAGTCATTTAATGCCAGTACTGAAAGAACTAAAATTACCACCAGACTCCTCTTAGCTTTTCTACTATGTAGGTTGGGATGGCTGCTTTTGATTGAACAGACAACCAGCAAAAATACAGATGAAGCAGCTTCCCCTTGGACTTACAGTTCTGAAGAATCTATGTCCAGCACCCATGAAAGCAATACGTAACCCCTTTTTATTCTTGCTGTGATTTGAAAACTTAGGTTTGCAATGGGATGTCATATGCTAAAAACATTCTGTTGGAAGCATCAGACTTTTTTACTAAATGATGTATTCCCAGTATTTAAAGAGAGATACCAGTTGTCTCTGGGTGTCCTGGCACTGCAAGGAGCCCAGTCCATAGAATGCTGGTCATTTGCACACCAGTGACTGGAGAAGGGCTCCAATGATCACAGAGTTGTAAAGTCACAGGACATTTAGAAGATTTAGGTTGGAAGAGCTCTCTGAAGGTCATCTGATCTGGTCACTTGGCAGTTTGGTGCAGGGAGGCACAGCATCTCCTTTCTAAGGCCCTCTGTTTTGCTTCAGAAAGTGTAACATTTGCTGCTTCTGCCTGGTTGCTCCGCATGGTTGGGGCAGTTGCTTCCTTTTGTCCCCAGTAAGCCTCTCCCAGACAGAAGGATCACAGTGTTGGAAGAATGTTTGACTGCCTTAATAAGGGCTTACTAGCACGTCTGCAAATTGCCAGCTTATCCGCCCTGTACTGACTGAAACAACCTGCCCTACGTTAGGCTTAGACCTTAGTGCCTTAAAAGATACTTGTTCTAGCCTTTTACCCAGACTTGAATTTATCTGTAAACATAAAGGGATAAATTTAGCAAGGTTTGGCCATCCTTATGTGGACTGAGCAAGGTATGACTACAGTCCCTCACACCACAGACCAGGATTTCCTTTGAACTCTAGGAAGCACAGCTTTGGTGGATATATCTTTCCTAAGCCTTGTACTGTTTTCCATGCATTTTATATTCTCCCTTTGCTCTCTGTGCCATGTATCATATACATGGGGTGGGATAAAGGGCTCTGAAGAAGTCTTACAGTCACCATTTTTACTATTGTCCTTGATCTTTACCCGGACGCTTATACTAACGCTGCATATGTGGTGCATCTGATCTGTAGCTAGATTGCAGGGTTTTCTCATCTCTCACCTTGCAACTAGAACACAGAATTTCTCTACGCTCTGAGACCAGCTGCGAAGGAGAACAGCTTGCCATTTCTCCTTGATGTGATTCATCCACTGTTTTCATTTAAAATGTGCTGGAAAAAGAGAGGTTTGCTGGATGCTTCCACAGGAAACTGGCTTGCCAAAGGCACTTCTGGGATTCGAGAGACTCAACTGTTGGCAAGGAGCTTTTGGAGCATCTTGTGAATTATTTTGTTACCCAGAGGCACTAGAGATTAGCCAGTATCAATGACTGTATTGCCTAGCTTATTTCCCTGCATGGGACACTTGCTACTACTATTTGTTCTTTAATGTCCTGATTACTGATGTGCTTATGCTTTCCCTTGGAAGACTGACTTGGAGAGGTTTTCACTTTGCCCACCTCCTTTTTTCTTTTCTTTGGACAATGATGGGAAACATCACACTTGGAGCAAATGCTCCTAGCTGGACATCTGATGCAGTTGCTGATCGACCAAAGGCTACTACAGAGAGTGCTCATTTTCCTACAGTTTCTTGGCTGACAGTGCTTATTTCTAATTCCTGTGTATGGAGATAAAGCAGGAGGACCCATTGGCTTCTCTGGCTGACTTCATTTCAGAACTGGAGGCCTACTTTTTGAAGACAGAGGGGCTGTTCGTCAGCAATTGATGGCTAGCACAAAAAAAAGGTAAAAGAGCTCAAAGACTAACTCCAAAGTTTGATTTCAAGAAAGGAAGGCTGTATTAAGTGTAGCCCTTGTCTGCAGGAGACCCAAACTGAATAATGTGAACTGACCCATGAGTTCCATCTGAAATATAGGGAATTAAGTGTGTTTGCAGAACTTGCAAAGCCAGTATCACTCTTGAATCTGGTTCTCGGCCAGTGGCTGTGAATCATTTTTATTCTTATTTAATGACATGCTAAGGATTTTATGCACTCCTCCTCCTATGATGGGCTAGTATTTTTATTAGCGAAGAGGGCTTTATGGTGACTGCAATGACACAAAATAATATGGGGCTTCTTCCAAAACTAGCATCCTATTTTGACTTTAGCATTGCCCTCTGATGACTTCTAGCAGATACCCAGGGCCCTGCAGATTCTACCCTTGGAAGCTGAATTGGTGCCTTGGAATTTGACTCGCTCCTTATGCTTCCAGTATGTTCATACATCATGCAGGACAACTTCTTCCTGTCATCTCAGCCCAGCCCAAATGTCCAGGTTTCAGAGAAGAGCCGCCCCTTTCTTCATCAAGAGTAGAGGCTATTGAGGCATTCAAGTGTGTATAAGCCAACATGTGTCCAGCAAGTTTTCCCAAGAGCAAGAACCCCCTCACACAGCAAGAAACCCCAGATGACTCTGTGTAACAGTAGCAGCTGTTGAAGCTTGCTGCTGTAGTATGAGCACACTAACTGCAGAGGTTGTGCTTTTTAATCTAAATCCAATGAAGGAGACCTCCGTCTTTATTTGGTCCTCTAGACCACATAATTGAGCTAGGGTGACTAATTGTAGATTGTGTGAACACAATTTGTGCTGCGTGAAATCTGAAGAGTTTTATCTTTATCATACTTGAGCTCCTTTTCAGTCACTTTGTTCATATTTATAGAAACACTAAACACAACTCTTCAGGGAAAATTGATTGTATCTCAGTCTTAATTCCGTAACTTCTTAAATTGCAACAGAAGTAGATTAGGTTATCCAGCAGCAAAGCAGAAATGGCACCAGTTTTACTGGTCCACAGACCACTGCAGTTCATAAAACACCAGTTGGTGGGCTGCGAAATAATGACAAAGGAAATCTATATATGCATGCTTTACAACTGCAAGCAGACAGAAAAGTGAGAAGGAAATAGGCTCTGCTTTGAATGCTAATTTCTATTTTTAATTGGCTATAAATGAAAGCCGTTGTGACAGCACTGCACAATACTATGTGGGCTCTTTTTTCCAGTAAGATTACAGGGTCTTTGACTTTTTAAAAGAGGGAGAGAATTGAGCAGCTCAAATACTGCAGACTGAAAGAAATAACAGTAGGAAATAGCCTAGACTCATTCTTTCCACATTGTAATTTATTTGTGCTTAAATTTTCAGCCATTCCAAAGAGCTGATGATCATATGTCAGCCCATTTGTGTTGAAAAAAGTTGAAAATGTTTCACGTATGGGAGTTATTGCCATTCTAGACTTTTGTTCTTCCTGTCATGCAGCTGAAGGAATATACCATGCCCCCAAGAAGAATTTTCTGTCTCAGATAAAGTGCCTTGATAGCCACTGGAGTTACGCTTATGTAAAATAATAATGTAATGAGTAAGTGATGGTGTCACATGGGGCAGATAAGGACACGTGTGCTGCTCCTGTCAGCTGCTTTCCACCTCAGACCAGAGATTCATAAGAGAGATAAAAAAATCATGCAATTTTTCTTTGATTAAGAAAGGACTTGCAATATCTGGCTTTCTTGCTTATTTGCAGAGCACCCTGCCCTTCTGGAATGCCGTTCCACGAACGGAGGGCAAGGGCTGCTTCTTGATAGGGGTGGGAAGGTTACCTCGTGTGATAACTACAATGCAAAGCTCTTCAGCGGTATGTATTACTACATAGGGTAGCTAAGTCCCCTCTGTGTTACTACCTCCAGCAGCACATCAGTTTAAACATCCACTTAATATGGTTAGAGCCTTCCATTTGTTGACCTGACATAGGAGAGGGATGACACTTGAGGTTATATTAAATTAACCCCCACAAGTAATCACTGCTCGTTGCTATTTCTGCCAAGTTTAATGCCTATAATGTGCCTTGTGCTAGTCTTCTGAATATTATTCCAGCTGTAAAAGCAGATGGTAAATGTGTAGATTCTCTTCAATGACTGTCAAATGTGTAATTAAAATATAAGAGAACTTTCAACCAGTTACTCTTTTGTGTTCTTCCTACACCATAAATTGCTTTTTAGTGTCAGCAGCAGAAGTGGAATTGAAAATTCTTTAGTCTTACTTCTAGAATTAACCTAGTCATTAAGAAATTTCTGTTGTTATTTTTTGGACAAAAATGCAAAATGGTTTGCTTGTATGGGGGATTTTTTTTGTTCTTCATATTTCAGGGGACTTTTTTCCTTGTTTTTCTAAGAAAGAAAATAATTTGAATATATACTCACCAAGAGAATAGACAAATGTCTGGGAAACCGTTGGCAGCCCTCTTTAATGATGTGACCCACTGTAGCAACCACTGACTTGGCTGCCATGTCTGTACAACAAGAACACTTCCTATTTGGCTCTGAAGTACTTTGAGCTCCATGACAAGAAAAGGCTTCTAGAAATTTTGTTTGGTTGATAAATGAAGATACTGGTTGAGCTTTTCACACTTTCCATGTGTGACAATCGCCTCATAAATAAGTGTCTGACATAAGAATGGAGGTCTGTTGGGTCTCATACAGCCAGCTTAATTTATTACTCATGTCCTCCCCATTGCCCTTATCTAATGCCCTTTGTAGCTCAGTGTTGCAGCCTTTCTGTCTCTTCCCCCTACTGCTTAGTGGTTGCACGTGCCAAATACAGATGGCTGGTCTGACCGAAAACCCAATGGGCACATGGAACTTGAGCTATGGGAAAACATGCCCTAGAGCAGCAATGCAGCCACTTTCTGACTGGGACCAGGGAGCCTGGGGAGAAGTTATCATAGAATGGTTTGGGTTGGACGGGACCTCTAAGGATCATCTCATCCATCCAGTCCCTGCCCAAGACAGGGACATCTTTCACTAGATCAGACTGCTCAAAGCCCCGTCCAGCCTGACCTTGAACACTTCCAATGGTACGGTGTCCACAACTTCTCTGGGCTACCTGTTCCAGTGTCTCACCACCCTCATCGTAAGGAATTCTTCCTTATATCCAGTCTAAATCTACCCTATTTCAGTTTAAAACTGTTTCCCCTTGCCCTGTCACTACATGCCTTGGTGAAAAGTCTTTGTCTTTCTTATAAGCTCACTTCAGGTACTGAAAGGCTGCAGTAAGGTCTTTCTGGAGCCTTCTCTCCCGGCTGAACAACCCCAATTCTTTCAGCCTTTCTTCATAAGAGAGATGTTCCAGCCCTCTGATCATTTTTCATGGCCCTCTGGACCGGCTCTAACAGGTCCGTGACTTTCCCTGAGGTAAGTTTTGACAGCTGGCTCAGATGTGTGCCCATCTTGTCAGCCTGTGCCAAAAGACTTGGGCATGGGGAAAGAAGAAATGTGAGCAGGGTGCACGCTTACTCCTGTGCACCATCTGGGTAATGCATTTGTTGGAAATGGAGGGTAAAATACCAATAGGTGTAACAGCTGCATGTATTTTCCAACTGTCAGAGCAGCGAGGTTACGGCCCACGCCTTCCCACAGGAACAGTGGGAGAAAAATTCAGCCCAGCTCTAGCTCCTGTTAATGTGGAATTTGGTCATCTTATGAAAGGGGCCTCTATGACATGGTTGCCTGCAAATGTAAGGGACTCAGTGACCCAGGAGCTGCCTTCCATGTCTCTTACGCTCAGGTCAGACTGACCCTCCATTACCAAATCTCAATAACAGGTCCAGAGTCCTCCACAGCTTCTTGCCTGCCCCCCTGAGCTGGATGTGCTTGCAAAAGACCAAATGGGGAAACAAAGCAGGACCTTTGACCCCGTGCTATCACTATATTAACTCTGCATAAATGCCGGTGTCTCAGATGAGCATCTACCTCAGCTTCGGCCTGAGAAAGAGAGAGAGAGCAGGACAGGTAAGAGCTGAACACTCTGTTCTGGGTGGTCTGGACTTTGTGACTGGTGTAGCTAGGACATAGAGGAGTGAGTGGAGGTGGTCTTCTATTTTGCCCCATTTCTTATTGCAAGCCAAAGTGTGAGCCCTTCTCACGCTCCATAGCCAGGAACATTGCTGAAATGGAGGAGGGTGGGAGTGCTTGAGGTGACGTGGATTGATGCTGAGTGACGGATGCTCCATAAGACACTCATAGGAGGGTCAAGCCTGTGGCAAGGATTGCAGAGTTTCAGTGTCGGAAGATACATAACCCTTTCCCAGCTGTGTTCACCACAGGGACTACAGGCTCTAAAGCGGGTAAGATCACCTCTTTAAGCTCTTGGGAAGCAAATTTATACATTTTGTCTACAGAGGGAGAAACTGGCTCTAGGATTAAAAGTCAAGGAAGGATGGTAACGGCGCAACTGCTGCTTGTCAGCAAATGTCTAGTGAATGGGAGTGGTAGCTTTTGGAGGCAATCTGTGCACAGAAGGAAATAAAAATGGATGGAAATTTCCTTACTGTGGGATAAGAAGGAGTATTGACTTGTCGCTACATGGCACAGGATTTAGCGAAGCATTCACATGTAATAGGCTTGCAGCCTTTTTCGCCATTGCAATTCCTAACACTGCAATGTTTTCTTCATGTTGTGCTGAGTGATGTAGCCCTCTAATTCAGGGCATAAATCAATTTTAACTTCTAAACACCTTTTTAAGTGCAGCGTGTTTGAAGTTTGTTTAACTGTAATGTCATCTTTTCAATATATCAAGTACCGAATTTTCAACAGTTCCTCCAATTCTGACATTTTTAGTAGACAAAATGAAGGAGGCTGGATGAAGCTAAAGTTTGCACTTACTCCCTTTTTAGAACTTGTTCTGCCCAGGCTACTATCTGCTTCATTAATCCCAGTGTGGAAAAGACAAGAGAACCTAGCTGGGTAGTTGAGTCTCTCCTGAACTAGAGCAAGACAAAACACACAGATCACCATGTCACTAAGATGATCACAGTATGTGATGTACTCACTAGCACAATGTTCTTCAGAGCTATTTACAAAAAAAAAACCCAAAACACTAAACAAAAAAAACCTCCCACATTATTAATTTTTCAGTTGTACTTAAGTGTGGAGGAAACCTGTTCTGACGTCTGCCAGTTTTAGTGGTTTGCTCATGTGCTGAAACAAGGAATTTTAGCTCTCATGTACAAGAAGTAGCTTTAACTGTCACTTATTTCATGGACCTCTGAAAGCTATCATTCATTGTGGATATTTGTGATTATACAAATAAAAGGACACTTTCATTTTTATATTATATTTTCCTCACTTCTTCAGAGGAAACGCACCGTGATCTTTCCTGTTCTCTTCTTCATTTGTTGGTTAGGTTTGTTGCAAAAATCTGGTATTTAACTGACATGTTTTATTTCTCTGAAAACAAACAAAACATTGTACGCTGATTCCAGCAGGTCTCTTGGTGTAGAGAGCGGAACTGGTACTGCAAACCATGCTGCAGTCCAGGGCACTGGTGATAGCGCTGATTCTGCTCCTTAGCACCAGTCTCCCCGGTAAGTCTGAAAAGCTTTTCTGTCTGCCTCAGACCAGGCTCAGCTCTACAGGTTCTCACTTGCCTTAGAGAAGTCTAACCCATCCATAAAGTAGGACTGAAGCCAAATAACACAGTTCAAGACCACGAATATATAGTGCTTGACAGCATGAAACAAGTCAGTAGGGACCTGGCATGAAAATTGTCCGTACCTGGTGCAAATACTCTGCCATGTAAGGCATATGACTTAGACGCCCAAAAATGAGTCATGAGGTGCTGCTGGATGCTGCTAGAGCAAATTCTGGGGGAGGCTTTGAATCTCAGAATTTGAAGTCTCTTCCCACTGCACCTGGGTGAAAGTATCAGAGACACAAGTGACTGGAGAAGCCTCATGGTTTTTTGCCTCCTCTTTCTCAGAAGTGCACTCAAAGTCAATCTACGAGAGAGATCGTCGTGACTGGTTGGTCATTCCCGATGCAATTGCATCTTACATCTATGAAACTGTGAACAAGATGTCCCCTAAAGTCGGTCAGTTCTTGGTGGATGCTGCCCAGACTCCAGCAGTTGTTGCGACCAGGTATGGAAAGATCCTCTGTGCTAACATTGCAATAGCCATGGGTGAAAAGGGAGATAGAGGAGTGGGAGAAAGAACAGATTAATCAAGTATCTATATGGGGAGACCCAACGGGAAATGAATCAGCAACCAAACTTCAATGCGACTACAATGCGAGCGGGGTGCTGGACGGTGGGGGTGGGACAATATGGTCTCACGTGAAAGTGCGAGCTCTTCCCAGGGCTGCACACTGAACACAGCAATGCTCTTGGGGATAGCAGGTACTGCTCTCTATACATGGGTCGTGAGGGAGGGGGCCAGCGGCTGGGGGGGGATCAGCCCCCCTGGAAGGGTGCTGCGGTGCTGTCTGTGAGGAGCTGAGTGCTGAAGGTGCCAGGATACACAGCTGTCACTCAACGCAAATCACAGAATTGGCTCTAGCTGTAAATACATGTTCCTCAGAGAAGGGGAAAGGGTTTCCTCCCACAAGCACGGTGACCCAAGAAATACAGTTTCACCTCACTCATGGCAAACACTGCCTACTCCTGTCTTCCGAGGAAAGCCCCTCCAGGACAGCTGAGGACCTGTGCACTCTCAGTGACGGGCAGTGTGATAACTACAGCAGACAGAGATTACCCCCACCTATTTGTCTATCTTACCACATGCACCGTTATCTCCTGCAGGAACTTCCTCATCAAAGAAACAACTAAATTCAGTATACTGATTGAACAGCTGATGGAAAAAATAGCGAACCTGTGGTACACAAGAGTCCTAGGCTACTAGCCAGACGAAGACAAGTCAGTGTTTCCTAATGTGAGCTGGTAACACCTTGCAGTGTCCTCTTCCCCCCTGCCCCCACTACGGACCAAGATCAGTCAATAAGACAGAATCGATGCTCCTCTTAATGCCACTAGAGGGAACCCAGTTTCAAAGACCAAAGGATGGAAGGCATCTGCTGAAGTCTTCCCCGCAAAAAAAAACCCCGCAGCTGGGCATGGGGAAGGCAATGAGATTGTAGAGCTCTTCTGTAGCCAAATCCTGAAAATTAATTCCTCCTGAACGGCTTGGTCATCGCCCCTCTAATAAAAAAATGTTTGTTGTTACACTTCCTTAAGTTTCCTGTTTGTATTGACTGTTACACAATCACATCCACCTTGGCATCCCATTCTGCTGAGAATGTAGCTGTGATTCACAAGAAGTTGTTGCAGGCAGCGCTAACAAACCCTGACCACTCAGGCCCTCTTAACCAAGCTCAGGTTCTTCTTGGGTGGAGGGGGCACTACCTGAGCATCTTTCTGGGTAGCCACAACACGGCAACCATAACCTCACATCAAGAAACTCCATGAAATTTGCGTCCCACTGATTGTGCTTGTTGGTTAGGTAAGAAGCAAGTAGGTGCACCTGTATCAAGTGTCTGAAGATTTCAGATCATCTGGGGAAAACAAGTGCCAGTAAACCGAACTGTCCATCGGTCTGAGCAGGACTTTGACAGTATGTTTCAACAGACAACCAGTGAGGCTACTGAATAGCCTTTCCAAAGGAGAAAACAGGGGAAAATTTCTCACTGTCTTCAAGATGGAGGCTGACTAGTTTACGAGAGGGTCATCTATACACAAGACTGTCTATGAAGACCTGGCAGGTCCTTGTCAGCCCTGTGTAACTACCTCATCTCAGATGCCCACACTGGATAAAGAACTCCATCTACTTTATCATTAAGCAAGCAGAAACAGGTAGGCACTTTGTCTGAAATCACAATGAGAGACTGCGGCAGGGGCTAAACCAAAACCCTGCTAGCCTGAGATCTAGAAGTCGCATGCACAGGGGCAGAGATACTGCTTAGGAGTGACAGCATCGCTACAACTGGCAAAAGGACATTTGCCAAATAACTGCAAAGCAACGCCTCTGTCTTTTAAGGTGCATCTCCATTTACTTTCCCCTCATTGGGGTCTTAAAGCTAAAACTTTGTTCTGCTTCAGCATTACCTTAACTATCTGTCAGGGCTTGAGAGCACCAGTAATAGCCCTCAGCTGGGATGCTCATCCACACATCCTGCCTATGGACCCAGCAGCCACATGTAAGCTCAGGCTCTGGGCACCCGGACCTGTGGCTGCTCTCTGCTGCCTTGGCTTACTGGTGGGTTTTCTTGCATGGATGCTGGACCTGCATTGTGGGTAACCTCATCCCGTCCTTGGTTGTGTTCCTGGACAGGCCTTGGACCTACCTACCCTGGTGTGGCTGAAGGACACTGTCACAGTCACTATCTCACCACTGCTTGGGCACAGTGGGACTGTGCCCTGGCTGGGGGGCGTCACTACCTGTGCTGTGGTCTCTGCTGGGTACCGGCTTGTCCTCCCTCTTGGAACATCCCAGCTTTTGCTGTTCCCTGATGCTATTTCTAGATTAGGTAATCAACAACTGAGTAGGGGAAGCAAGAAAAGCGGAGAAGCACAAGGAGGAACTGGGAGATGCCAGTGTTTGGCCCTTCCTGTGGAAGAGAGCAAGGGGACAGATGAAGGGTCACAGGGAGGAGAGAGAAGCAGTAGAGGCTGAAGGAAGAAAAAGAATCAGCAGCAATTGCTTTAAAAGCTGAATGTATTTCTTCAAGGCTATCCCTTGAAGATGGGTTTGACCATGGAAATTAACTCGGCTGACAAAAGGCTGATTAACAGATGGAAGCTATATTCCATCCAGTATCTGTGCCAACCTCCCACTAGCATTGGTGGAAGAACTGCCCTGATCCCATGTACACAGTTCCAGGTTTTTCTTTTAACCTATTCTCCACATTTTACAACAGTATTTGACGGTGGCAGGAAAGCAGACTTTGCCATTGAGCTTCAATACTCTTATTGCTTAGGCAGCACTGGGGGTGTGGAAAGAATGCCCTAAGCTAACAGTAAGGCTCTTTCTCAGCCTGAAGCGCTGGATACTGAAAATGTGCATGTCCACTTTCTTTCTCAATGATCAGAAAGACTGCCAGCAGTACCTGACTCTCCAAAGTTTCCATTGCCCTAGTCTGAATTTCCTCTCCCGAGATCTTTGCTGCTGAGAAGAGTTTGCTTCAGCACAAACCTGAACATGTGGCTGTTGTCCTGTTGGATTGATTTGGTAGGCTATCAATAATACAGCAGAAATGAGTCCCTTATATTTTGGGGTTGCTTTTTTGTTGGTTATTTTTCATTATTATCAGTCGGATCAACTATCAGTATAAACTTGCACTTAACCACTAGTCTGGAATAAAAGATCTCATTTTGCATTTTCTGTAGCTCAGCAGCTGCTTGGTACCATGTGCAACCAGAATGAAATCAGTGTCCCCATGCAGGGCACAAGTTCTTCCATCTCCAGTTGCTTCACCACTTCTGCAGAACCCTTCTGCAGATTTCTTTATTGTTGCCTGTTTTGCTTAGACTGTCTGTGCTTCCCTGGTCATGCACAAATGTGCACATGCATATGTATTATGTAAATACAGCAGTATTTAGAAGAAGGTTTAGAAAAGCGCAGTTTTGGCTGATAAGAGCATTTACCACATGAAAAAGACAGAAACTTCATCTCTTTCTGCTACAGAGGTGATTTCCTACCTGCTTGTTTTGCATGTCTCTGCTCAGTCTTTCTCTCTTTTTTTCCCAAATATAGCCCTTGTAGGAGAAGCTCTGCAGCTTAAATCCCCTCCTGCCCCAGGGAAGAATTCAACATTCTGAGCCTTCTCAGGATAGAGTTTGTTCTTTTGGCACTTCAAAAGTATTTCCATCTGAAAGAATGAAGTCATGAGTCATATGAAAAAGCCTGAATGTGCGCTTAAGAGTTTGGTGTCCAGGAAATCATTTCTTCAGCCTTCTCAATCTCTTTGTATACACTGCCAGAACGGGTAGGGAAAAGTTCAGAAAGTGTAGGGGGCTCGTGTTGTGTTTCAAGCCTATTATGTGACTTCATCAATGCAACCCAGTGGCATTTCTGCATTGCATCACTGCACAGCTGGAGCAGAGCGGTACCTGTGTTGAATTCCACGCTAAAACTCAACAAAGTTTTGATATTTTGTTAAACGGACTTAATTACAAGCCTTTTGTTCTTCCGCAGTGTAACCTCCAGAAAATCCAAGCCAGCCACATGCTGATTAGCTGTTTGATATCTGACTGATTTTAGTACATGGGCAAAACTGAATCAGCCTATAGATCTCTGTATTTCTTTGTACTGAATCTCCTGATCATGTCGTTATCTATGCATTTGTATGCTTTAAAAGCAGTAAACAGAAAACCTTCCAGACATTTAATCTGCAGTACAGTCTACAGTGTAGGGCAATCTACGAAGAGCAAAGTAGAGAACCTCCCACTGCCACTTCTGACCTTGATGTTACTGGCATCACCCTTTGGTCAGTTCCTTGAAGGCAGAAACTAGCAGCTGAGACAGCATTCAGGCTGGGATCAGATAGGAAAAAAACCAGCATTTTATCCCAAAAAGGGATCTTGGAGCAAATTCATGGGACAGGTAGTGAGAGAGCCATATGTTTTACTCTAAAGTTAAAATATTTCACATCTACTCCCACTTTTCAGTAGCAATAAACAGCTTAATTTGTAATTTCTTTGGAAAATAGGGATGGAAGTCACTTTCCAAGTGATGTCTGTGAAAGTTCACCGAGTGCTCAAGATTCTTGGACAGGCTTCATGAGCGAAGCGTTCGTTTCAGTGAGATTCATGTCACAGAAACTTTCTTTGTGAGTAATCATCATCCACTTCGCAGCTTTGGGAAAGCTTGTGGTGTATCTGGTTCAACTGAGTCCATTTAAATGAAATCTTGAGAAATTCCCGTTGTTTCTGAGATGGGTGAATAATGTGTTCCTGATTTCTGCAAAAACACCCTCTCTCAAAAACTATTTATGATGGTGAATACTTTACACCATGTTCAGTAGCTCAGATGGCACAGAATATTTCAGCCCTTAGACTTCCTAGCTCCCCCCACCTCTTGCTTTAACACTTGGGAAAATCACGAAATTAATGCCAAGGAACGAATGCCACAGGCTCTGCACAGCTGTCAGCAACCATGGCTGTCCTTGTCGACGGCGACAAACCGCCCGAGCCCTTCAGCACCAGGAACCTGAACACGAGGTGTTCTCTCCTCCCGAGGGGAGATGACGAAGACTGGAAAAAGTCATGTCAAATATTTGATATTTATGGCTGGCAGTCACACTTTGCAGGCTGATGTGGTGATCTCCCCTATACACACGCTCTTC